AGAAAAAAGCCTTCCCTACTTCCTGAGGAAATTTTTTCTATAGAAAAAAGCCTTCCTCAGTTCCTGAGAAAATTTTTCTAAATTTGTTTTAATTTTTTCTCAGTGTCCCAAATTGTCAATTATTGCTCAATTGAGGGTGATAGTGGTAGAAAAAAATCATAGAATTTCCTAATAGAGATACAAGTGTGACTGTGACTACAAATCTAACGCCTTATGTTACAAATCTTCTTCACTTTTTTTTGTTGGATTCCAAAGCAAGGAAACAAAAAGGCTATTGGAATATCTAGTGGAAGAGGACTACAACTTATCTTTGAATGAATCTTGAAAATGTTGCTGATATTTCAATTGTCTCTGCTGGTGTTCGCCAAAAAACAAACCTCCGAACAAAAAACCCAGTCAAGATGAAAAAGACAAGATAATAAAAAATGCAATGGTCTAACGAATAACTCACACCACTCAGATAAAAAATTATATATTTAGTAAAAATATAAAATAATAAAAATTAAATAATTTTTAGTACTGAGATTAGAAGTAAGACTGCTTACATTTTTTTCCTTGCATTGATTTCTTTTAGAGCCATTAAAAGTTATTATAATGTTTAATAGTTTTTTTTTTTCTAATTTAGTTCTGAGCTTTAGCTTTTATTGTGAATCCTTGCATTTTTATTACCTTTAAACTTTGTATTGATAAAACTTTTAAAAGTTTTTTGATTTTTTAAATCATCAAAACAAAAAAGAACACCCAAAATAAATAACTCGGCAATAGACATCATCTATGAGAATTACCATGAAACACATTCGAACCCCTTGCCTCAAACAGCCAGCCAGTCACCTCACCTTAACCCGTCCTAACTAACATCTATCTCCGAATTGTAGTTGCTTTGTCTGTCTGTTATCATTTCTTTGACTTTGGTCTGTTTTTTTTTTTACCACAATAAAATGAACTAACAAACAAAACAACAACAGCAATGAAAGCAACCGAAATAACCTTCAAACATGAAAATTGTTTTATTATTTTAAATAAATCATCACACGAATATAAAAAGAAAAAAAAACACAACAATAAACCAAACAACAGCAAAAAGTAACCCAACTACTCTGAGACCCAAACCTAAAACCGGAGCATTCGACTAATTTGCCAATGAATTCATTTCCATTCGTATCCGTTTCGTATGTTAACTTTATTTGTAGAAAAACAAATTGAATGCCCTTCTTCTCCCCCACCTCATCTTGGTCTCAGCTATCATCACCAAGTTTTCATAGGGCCATCATCGTTTAAGCCGACAATACATTCCAGCTGCCTTAACTCGTCTTTATTTGATGGTGGTGGTGGCGATGATGATTATGATGTTGATGAGACGATGATGATAAAGAGTTAGAAAAAGGTGTAGCCGGTTGTGTTATAACCAAAAAGATTTTTTACATGGCCAAATATATTTAAATTTTATCACTTTTTTGAAGGGGAATAGGTGAAAATATACAGTGGTATGAAATAATTCAAGAATAGGAGGTTGGTTGTATAATCGAAATGACTCCACCATATTTTCCTTGGAAAGCCGTGGTCTCCATGAACTTTTCCATAAAAAATCGGGGTCTCCATCTAATTTTCCATGGAAAACCAGGCTCTCCACCGCATTTTCCTTGAAAAATCGGGGTCTCCACCAACTTTTCCATGGAAAACCGGGGTCTCCACCAACTTTTCCATGGAAAACCGGAGTCTCCACCAACTTTTCCATGGAAAACCGGAGTCTCCACCAACTCCACCATGGAAAACCGGGGTCTCCACCAACTCCACCATGGAAAACCGGGGTCTCCACCAACTTTTCCATGGAAAACCGGGGTCTCCACCAACTTTTCCATGGAAAACCGGGGTCTCCACCAACTTTTCCATGGAAAACCGGGGTCTCCACCAACTTTTCCATGGAAAACCGGGGTCTCCACCAACTTTTCCATGGAAAACCGGGGTCTCCACCAACTTTTCCATGGAAAACCGGGGTCTCCACCAACTTTTCCATGGAAAACCGGGGTCTCCACCAACTTTTCCATGGAAAACCGGGGTCTCCACCAAATTTTCAATGGAAAACCGGGGTCTCCACCAACTTTTCCATGGAAAACCGTAGTGTCCACCAACTTTTCCATGAAAAACTTGTCCATGGAAAACCGTGGTCTCCACCTCATTTTCACTGGAAAACCGTGGTCTCCACCTCATTTTCCATGGAAAAACGGGGGACTCCTCCACTTTTTCTATGGAAAACCGTTGTCTCCACCACTTTTTCCATGGAAAGCCGTTGTCTCCACCACATTTTCCACGCAAAACCGTGTTCTCCACAATGGAAACACGTGGTCTTCATCAACTTTTCTATGGGAAACCAGGTTCTCCATCAAATTTTCCATGGAAAACCGGGATCTCCACCAACTTTTCCATGGAAAACCATGGTCTCCACCACTTTTTCATGGAAAACCATGGTCTCCACCATTTTTTCATGGAAAACCGTGGTCTCCACCAACTTTTCCATGGAAAACCGGGGTCTCCACCAACTTTTCCATGGAAAACCGGGGTCTCTACCAACTTTTCCATGGAAAACCGGGGTCTCCACCAACTTTTCCATGGAAAACCGGGGTCTCCACCAACTTTTCCATGGAAAACCGAGGTCTCCACCAACTTTTCCATGGAAAACCGGGGTCTCCACCACTTTTCCCATGGAAAACCGTGGTCTCCACCAACATTTCCATGGAAATCCAGGGCTTCGCCATCGATGGACATCCAAGGTCTCTGCCAACAACATATATCAAATTTAAAATGCTTCGCCACTGTTCACCGCCACAAAGTTTCATCACTTTTATGGACATAACCCTTGGCTTCAAAATATTATTCCCTCTATTTTTACATTGAAGAAAAAAAAAAGAAATCAAAATATCCAAATTTGTATTTCTTTTTGCCATTTGGAATTTGTTTTAATTTATTTTATTAGCTGGTAAAGTGCATAATGGCTTACATGACGCCCAAATAGACATTGGTGTTTACAACAGAACACCCATGCTCACACACACACTCACACAAGTTCAACACCATGTCGATGTAGAGAACCTGTAAGGGCCCTTGTAAAACCACAGCGAAAGAATGAAACTTATGACCATGAGGATGATACCGGCAACGGAAAAAACAATCAACTAACCAAAAACGAAAAAAGAAATCCCCAAAAAATGGGAATCACTTTCCAAGGCAAGGAAAAACTTTTTACCTTCGAATCAAAAACGAAAAGAAAAAAAGATGAGCGAAAAAACAACAACAGCAACAGAAAAGAGAAGAAGAGCCTTAACAATGTTAAACAACACATTTTTAATTTCTTTTTGTTTCGAACGAAAATTTTCAAACAATACTGAACACACATTCAGACACACGTACACATATACCCGTGGTTCGATAACCAACAGCCACATCTAATATGAATTGTTACATCTTCTTTGTGTTGGTGTTGAACTCCAATAAAAAATAAGGAAGACCTATTCATAACAAAAACAGAACACGGACCACCAACTGCTAGAGGTTAGCAGGAAGAAAGTGAAACAAAAAAACAGAAGCGGAAACCCATATCTTCCTTCTACCGTTTGTCAGTTGTTTCGCTTGGTGGCAACTGGTACCACTTGGAGAGAGAAAAAACTTCAGTTCAGTTAATTAGAAATCACAATGCTTAATTTTTACATGATTTTCTTAGTTGTTTTCTAAGGTCTTTTATGGCATGGTGGTGTCTTCTCCCGATGTCTTCTTTGTCGGAAAAAGTTTCAAAAGAATTTGTAACAAATTCGGTAGTTTAATTTGATTTGGCCAAGAGAAGGTAACCAGCATTTCCGTGAGGGTTTACATGACGATGGACAGGGCGAGAATGGAAAAAAATATCTACAATTGGAAACATAAGGTCTCCTTTCTATGGAAATCCAAGGTTTCCACGAAGCTCTGCATGGAAATCTATGGTCTCCCCCTAATTAGCCATAGGAATCCAACGATTCCACCATATTGTACATGAAAATTCTAGTTCTCCAAAAAAATTTTCCATGGACATCCAAAGTTTCCCCCAAGTTCTCTGCAAAGTCTCCGCCATGTACTATATAGAAATCTAAGGTCTCCACCAAGTTCTGAATTTCAATCCATGGCCTCCAACAAATTTTTTAATGAAAATTCCAGGTCACCCATAAGTCTTCCATGGAACTCCAAGGTCTCAACCAATTTTTCTACGAAGTTCTGCATTAAAATCGAAGGTTTTCTTTAAAATCCACCTACTTTTCCATGGAAAAACGTGGTCTCCACCAACTATTCCATTGAAGACCGAGGTCTCCACCACATTTTCCATGGAAAATCGTGGTCTTCATCAACTTTTCCATGGAAAACCGGGGTCTCCACTAACATTTTCATGGAAAACCGGGATCTCCACCAACTTTTCCATGGAAAAACGTGGTCTCCACCAACTATTCCATTGAAGACCGAGGTCTCCACCACATTTTCCATGGAAAACCGGGGTCTTCACCACTTTTTCCAAAAACCGTGGTTTCCACCACATTTGCCATGGAAACCCGGGGTCTACACGAATTTTTTCAATGGGGTCTACACCAATTTTTTCAATGGAAATCCAAGGTATGTATCAACTTATCCACCTACTTTTCCAATGGAAATCCAAGTTTTCCTCCAACTTTATCAATCGAAATACAATTCAATGGAAGAAAACCCGTAGTAACCTCTAAATTTCCATGGAATTCCTAGGTTTGCATTTAACACCCAGGTCTTCCCCAAAATCTCAAGGAAAAACAGTGGTTTCGTCCAAGTTTTCCTTAGTCTCCTTTCCGTGTTCTCCCAACTCCTCCTTAAGGTTATCCATGCTAGCCACTCAATTATTGATTCTATCGCCACCTATTTAATATGAGGAACAACAAATAGACAGCCTTAATTTTGTTACCCGCCCCATTGATTGTTCAGATACAACTAATAATCCACCCAGCCGGACCCAGTCAATCGGTGGCAAACTTAATAAGCAGGGAGGTGTTGTTCTTGTTGATGTTGTTGTTCTTCTTCTTATTTAGTTGAACTTCTTTAACGAAATAATGAAGAGAAAAGTGGAAAAGTTTTTGTGTGCTTTTTCACCTCCCTTGTTATTTGGTTCGGTGGTTAGCAAAGCAGGGGGTAGGAAGGAGGTAGAATTCGATAATAAGCCCTCAATTGAAGATATTCATCCTAATGAGATGATTTCGACACGGTTTCGGTTGTGTTGTTTTGCCTTAGATGGTTAGCGGAAGGTCAGTCTGATACGAAATAAAACAATTTGTGTAGATAGATACAGTATCGAGAATTGAAATTATTCTAAGGTTAGTAAAATTTATTAGTAAAACTTCGACACTTTGTGGGAGTGGTACCTGAAAGGGTGGACCGGTAGACACCATAAAAATGTAGACACCTTGTATGATAAGCCTTTTTCAAACTGATACAGACTAAGGTCCCCACAACAGAGGAACAGAGGTCTCCACCCATTTTCCATGGAAAACAGAGGTCTCCACCACATTTTCCATGGAAAACAGAGGTCTCCACCAACTATTTCAATGGAAATCCAATTCATCACCAATTTTACATCTCGATCCAAGGTCTCAACAAAGTTTTGGGAATCGAAGAAAATCCGTAGTGGCCCTCAACTACAGACTAAGGTCCCCACAACAGAAAAACGTCCAATTGTGATCTATCTTCAAAACAGCGGATGGGCATGAACCCTACTGACCCCCGAATTAATAAACTAGTCGGCGACTATAAGCGGAAAAAGTGGTTAGAATATCTGAAGTGTTGTAACATCGATACCAGATCGAGTACGTTGTATGCAAAGGTTAAGTCGCTCTTGATATCAGAAAGGAAAAAAGATCGGGCATCGCTTTCTCGTTTAACGCCTTTGAGGCGGCGACAGATTCGAAGTGGTGTGCGTGTTGTTTTAACCGGCAATTCATACATCAACTCGAGAGCGACAGGGAGATGAAAAAATATTGCCCCATATACAGTATTTTCCGGTCGATGAGGAACTACAATAATTTACGTTGGAGGATGTTGCAATTGACATCAGAAGTGCAAAAACATCCAAGGCTCTTGGTCCTGATAAAATCTCAATTAAGATGTTAAAATAGCTACGTGAGCCAGGAGTAGAGTGCCTAAGCCAAGCCTAGAAAATAGGCAGAGTTGTCCTGCCTATCCGTGTATATTGCAGACCGATCTCACTATTTTCGGCAATAGATAAGACTCTTGAGCCATTACTACTTCCTGGCAAACCTGAATGCTACACACTTGCGGATCATAAACATGAACTCGGGAAGCACGCCATTTCCACACACATAACGAAAGGGCTTAACCAAAAAAGACCGTGTGATAAGACAGTTTTGGTTACGATTGATCTATCCAAGGCATTTGATGCTTCAGTCACGTCAAGAAGTGCACTGCAGCCAAGTTTGAAACGTTAGGTCGTGAATTATATGTGTGGACGCCAGTCGTAAGAGAAATTCAGAAAAATTATGTTAAAGATTCGTAGAGCGGAACAGGAAGTTCCAGAACTGGAACCATTCTGGAATTTAACATCTGCCATAGGTTAAATATATACCTCACATACTTAGCAGATCTTTTCCATACGAAAAATATCGAAATATCCCAAGGTTATAGGGGTCACATTCGATAGCTTGCATCTATCGTCCATGCATGGCACAGCTATTTTTGAGATTAGGTCTGGAGCTGGAACAAGGCCATCAAGTCACTAGCCGCCAGTTCTTGAGAAGCTACTAAAGAAACATTGTATACAAACCATACAGCGATATGCCGGTCTGTGCGGTTACAGTGTGGATCGTCAACGTTAATGCAATGCAAAATCCATCTGAACCACCACGTTATGAAGGAAAGATCTTCATGATTTAGAGGGAAGTCTGGAGGTACAAAAGACAACCTTTAGATCAACCGGGCTATCAGGTAGGATTGAATCGTATTCATAATGTTGCAGTTGAGTAATCAATTCGAGAATACAGGGTAAATATAATCCTCGGAGAACACCCGCTATCAATAGCAACAGAAAAGCAGCAGCTACCGCGACTAACCAAAGTATTTGTATTTCGAAAACAGACCTGCCAGAATGCCACCCTGAGAACTGCAACAGAGTGGCTCCTCAAGAGACGAAGATCATACCCGACCATAGAAACAATAAAATGTTGTCGTTGCCATACCTGCTTGGGTGTTATTGTCGGAAACATCCCTATTAAGATCTCTCTCGATCTTTATTATGTAGAGAGAGAGAGAGAGCCAAAGATACAAACGTGATCAATAGGCTTATCAGACAGACCTGGATAGCATTCATACAGATTCAGTCACCCAGGCAGTAGAACAATACCATATGAATGCTGTACTCGGAGACCATATATCATCCATAGCTTCAGAGAAGAAGCAGCAGTCTAGACAGACACGAGTAGTCTTAGCACAGCTAAGATCAAGATTGGGCAAACCGAATTGTGGTCATAATCCCATCATGTAGACTAGGACCAAATGACGCGTTGCACCTATTCAAGTGCCCAGCGAAGCCTACTGACTTGTCCCCATATTATCTATGGATGCAGCCCATACATGTTGTAACCTTCATGGATTTGGACAAACAAGAGTCGGAACCGGACAAAACACAATGGATTCACATTCATGCATTTCTGTTGCTACAACAACAAAGCAGGGTTATTTCGCCTCAATTGAGGTCTGGGTGGTATGATCGCTACATTTCGTGAATATCTTCCCGGCATGTGGTAAACGTTCATATGACAAGCTACGCCTCTTCAATTACCCAGCTAATTCGACTCACCTAATAACCTGTACAGGTCACAGCTTTTTAAACCTGCAGATAGAAGCAAAACCAGATTAAACCGAAAAACCACCCCGATTTTATCGTCAGAAGAACTAAATACTTTCGCTAACTTCGGCTTCTTAATAGCATTCCAGCCAAACGGCAGTGAATTCGAATCTTGCCCCCAAAAATTAGGTATTATGGCGATTTTTGACACTGTTTTCAACCGAATTGGCTGTAATTTGCTTCGTTTTGGCTCTTATTGGGAATAAAATATTACTAATGAAATGGTTCAGTGTTTAGGGTAGCCCCCATATAACGTTCAATATTGGCAATGTTTCGGGATAGTCCGAATACAATATTCGGTATTTTGAGGTTTAGGGAAACTCCCCAACGCAACATTCCAAAGATTGGTATTTTTGGAGCTTGAGTCGGTGTTTCAACCGATTTGGGAGTAATTTAATATTTTCTATTCTCATTCAGTAGAAAATTTTCCTACCAAGAGTTATCGAAATTGACTCATGTTTCCGGGTAGCCTACATACAAATATAATACTTATTATACGCTATTTTGGGGCACGTTTGGGCACAATTTTTAATTGAATTGGAACTTATTTAATTTTTAGATTCTCATGGGATGTCAATTCAATCAACCCCTACACATGCCTTTCTGCAACATATGCCAAAATTCAGATTTAAAGTCGTTTGACTACAATGTAAATCTATATAAAGCTCTGTTAAAAATTTAATCTCAATCAGACACCCGTTCGAAATATATATGGAAGCTTTGCCGGTATCTGCACCAATTTCAACAAAGCTCAATAACGTCGCCCTACCCTCAAGTTCATACGTTGTGCAAAATTTCGTGTCAATCGGACAAACATTAGGAGTTTGGTGCACAATTTACACAAAATAGTAAGAAAATATATATGGAAGCTTTATGTAAATCTGAACCGATTTTCACAAAACTTCATTATAGACTTAATTCAGTACGCTATGTGAAATTTCAAGCAAATGTTGACATAAAATCGGAGGAAAATATATATAAGTGAATGACCAAACCTAGACCTAATGACATTCCAGCGAAGGCTAAGTTATCATATCTTAATTATTAATCTCAATTATATAGAGTAGGTCAAGAAGCTCAGATGAAGTGTAGAGCTTCCTTCACCACGTATCCATATCGTTTTTTTACTTTATTCTTTAACATCCTCCATAATTTGTAAGTCAGTTACAGTAGTTCCAATATCCTTGAGCTAATTTGCTACACTCTTTTTTCACATCACATTTGAGTGTGAGTATGTCTGTGTATATGAATGAAAAAAAAAACAACAAGAACAATCAAAAAAGAAAGAAACACTTGTTCAGCTTTGGAAGTGAATTAGCCGACGATTTTATTTTACTTCATGACTGAACGAAGTGTTTGTTTGTTTGCTTCCATGGCCCCTGGCATATACAAGAAAAAAAAATCCGTTGAGTATGCACATCCTAGAACTGTTTCTATTTACACTTGACTTATAAGTGTGTTAGGCAAGCTGACTGGCAGTCAGACCAATTCATCACATATTCAAACTCATGGGAGCTAACATTAAAATGAAACTAACCACCATTCAAGTGTTCAAGGAAGTATCGATGGATTTTGAAGAAGATATAAGTTAGGGAAGTAAAAAGGGGAGCGGAGAAGGGAATTTAGAAAAATGCAAAGGGAAAGAAGTTTTCCAGCTTCGAAACATTCAATATGCATAGCCGGACGGCAGTCCGATGGATGTATTTATGTAGTTCTTTATGTTCTTCTCTCTTATATATTTATTTATATGTTCAGTCACAACCAGTCCCTAGGGGTGTGAAAATATTGGCTCACTAATAATTTGTTTGATTTTTTTATTGTCCAAGAAGGAGAAAATCAAAATACAGTTGAACTTCCATAATTTGAAAAACCAATATACCGAAAAACCTTCGAAGTCTTAAGGGGGCTTCGAGTTATGGAATTCATTATAACTTGCCTCTTTAGTTCTAATATAACTATATACGCTTCTACTATAACTATATATATTGTCTTATGAAGTTCGACTATATTAAGTTTCACCTCAGAACAGGTGTCTTGTTCCGACTTCCTGGCGAAAAGGAAGTGACTTTATTTTATTATTTACTTCGAGAAGTTATAGTAAACCACAATTTGTTTTTAAATACAATATATATTATATATAGCATATTTTTAGGAGTTGTTTACATTTTTAATTTTCAATACGATATTTTGTAGCATATTTTTAGGCGCAAATTTAAATTTGAAAACGCAACAACAATACCTACCTTGAGCTTTGTTTTTTTTTCTATTTAAAATTTATGACCTTTGTCAATTTTCATTTATTTCTATGCTTTCTAAATTTTTAAAATTCAAAAAAACAACAATAAAAAAATAGAAACATTTTTCGAAACTTACCGGTCCCTGGGGTCTTCTGTGAGCCCGTTGTGCTACTACTGGCAGCAGCAGATGTTGTTGAAGTTCTTTCATGTTTTAGCTGGACATCGGCCAAATTTAAATGTTGTTGTTGTTTCTGTGTGGAGCCTTGTCCTGCTCCAGCTACAGCAGCTGCTGTAGGTATTGTTTCGACATTCGCACCATTGAGATTTACACGTGAAGAATTATGATGATTTTTATGGACAATATTGGCAGCAATAGTTGCAATATTACTATTACCATTGTTGTTGTTGTTGCTGTTATTATTGTTGCCATTGGCATTTGTTAAACGCAAATAGGTGGTGGTTGTACCTCCATTACCTCCAGCAGCAGCAGCAGCAGCAACATTTGTTGCCTTACCATTACCCCCAGTATTGGTACTGGCCGTAGCTGTCAAAATATGCCTTGGCTGTCCCTTGGCGGAGGCTAAAATATCACCCAATTTGGTGGTGGTTATTGTTGTTGCCCCACCACCACCACTACTATTCAACGCTGAGGATGAATTATGATGACCACCACCATTGTTGTTGTTATTAGCAGTATTGTTATTCGTTCCATTATTTGCTTTGCTTTGAGATTTTTTGTGACGTGTAAAGGTGATAGTATTTGGTTTTGTATTGACAACATTACCTCCTGCTCCGGACGTTGTCAGAATTTGGGATTGGTGTTGTTGGTGCTGCTGTTTCTGTTGCATGGAGGACAAAGATGATGAGGATAAGCTTAGCTTATGTTCCACTGTCAATGAATTGGCCAACGATGAAGACGAAGCCGAGGATGATTTTGCAATATTTGCTAAGGATGAGGTAGAATTGGCACCTAATGATATATTCGAAGAAGAAGATGCTGTTCCGGCCGATGTCGACGACAATGCCGTTGATGATGAATTGCGTATGACCAGAATTGATTGGGATTTTTCTAAACGTTTTAATGTTTGCAAAACAAAAGGACCCTTGTCATCACCGCCACCATTTGTCGTAGATGATGATGACGAGGCTGATGTTAGGCTACCGAAACGATTGCTATCTGTGCTTAAACTCCGAGAAGTCTGGAAAATAAAGAGATTGGAAGGGAGAAGGAAATTTGTTAATAAAGATATGTGGATTATATTCAATATTTTATAAAAAAGTTCTAGTTATGTCGATGATAGTTTGGTATAGTCAGAAACACAGTCAACTCTATGATGGAAAACCGAAATCGAACCTGTCAATAGAATCCTTTATTTCGAAAAAAATAGAAAAGCCTGGTTTGTTTTCTCCGACCTACATCGGGAAAAAAAAAACTTAATTGTACCCACTTTAGATGTATCTATGGACTTATTTTCCGCACATGGGTAATATTTCTCGATATTGCATTCTCTTTTGCGATTAGAGGCCATCTTTTTCGAATAATCTGTGGCATTTTTTCGAATCAAAATTACGGTGCACATCTACACAAGAGCAAACATGTTACTAGACGGACACGGACTCTTTCTTATGTGGACTCAACCACAGGCCAGAATATAAAAACTATGGGCGGGACGGCATCTCTTCTGTGTTTACAAAGTTAATGACAGTTTAACGAAACAGAGTGAGTCGATCCTCAGCCTAATTGAGGATGTCCGGACAAAATTAAAAAAAAACCCTTCGGCTACAACCTTTATCTAAATTTCCCCAGTCTCCCGTATATCACCAGAAGCCACAGTAGAGGAGAGAGTACACACCCCTGAGGCGTTCCTCTGTTGACAGATTTCCCCACAGAACTCTTCCCTAGAGATAAATTGATATTTCTATGTTCCCCTCAGTCTATCAATCTATTCTGTAAGAGATTAGGAGTTCCCCGTACATTCGATTCCAGCTTCACATTATTGAAGGCTTCTTCAATATCGAAGAATGCAACTAATGTGTAGCGGGAATTTTCCATATTCTTCGTAATGTGTCCGACCACCTCTTGTGAGGCAGTATCCACAGATTTGACTTTGATGTAGGCGTGTTGGGATTTGCTAATCTTATTAAAATCGATGAAATTTCCGGGCTTGTAACATTTCTAGTATCTTAAGTAGAAAGGGATAAATGCTAATCGATCTATAATCCTTAGGTAACGTGTCACTGGGTTTTCGGGTTAAAGGTTACATTTGCCTCTTTCCATAGACTGGGTAGGGTATGTACGATAACTTAAGACATGCCCTGAAATACCTTTCTAGTGTCTTGAATAGAAAGGAAAAAATGTAAAATAATTTCAGACAAGACCTGAAAATCCCTTGTAGTATGACCAATACACAATCAAGGCCGGTATTATGCCGTCTAGCCCAGAGGAATTGTGGGGCTGTACGCCATTTATTGCCCATACCAGTTTTGGGAATGATACCAATATACTTACATTCTTAAACAGAAATGGACGATCTGTAGCCGACACAGTGGAATTGGATTTCTTCAGTTGACCGGATTGCAACAATACCGTTTCCAATTGACTTGCATTGATGGGTGTCTGCAGCAGTATTGTATTCGTTTCCTTGGGTACGATATGAGCTGTGGTGGTAGCGGTCGCGGCAGCAGAAGTGGTGTTGGAATTAATTGTATTATTTCCAACACCCGACTGGGATGAGGCCGCCAACACAGTTCCACCCACAATACCACCATTGGCATTGGTAAATAGGGAAATGCTAGTTTTACGTGCCACCGTCGTTGTTGCCGGCAATTGGGTTAATGTTGCCACGGCGGCTTTTTCATTTTGTTGCTGCAACTGTTGTTGTTGCTGCTGCTGCTGCTGTTGATGGTGTTCCGTGAGAAATGTAAAAATGTCCTGCTTATTTTGGATGACAATTTCGCCATGTTCATTGCGTGATCCACGCACAACAATAATGTTGTTGGTTAAATGTTGTTGTTGTTGTGTTGGATGCTGCTGTTGCTGCTGCTGAGTCGTTGCTGCCGATTGTGAGGTATGGGCAACAATTAAACCGGATGGTTGTGATTGCTGTGACTGTGCCTGCAATTGGAACTGTAATGTTGATGGTTGCTGAGTGGTTAATTGTTGGTGTTGATGCTGTTGCTGCGGCTGCTGTTGTTGTTGTTGCTGCATTAATAATATTTTTTGGTTTCGAAAAAGAAATTATCGCTGTTCTATGGACATTTGGAATTGTAGCTGGTGTGGAAATCGTCTATGATTTGGAATGGAGGGAAGTGCCGAAATATGTTGCTGTGTTATGGATGTTTTTCAAATAGATTCAAATCTTTGTGGTGTCACTGCAAAGAGAAATAGAAAAGAGAAACCGTTAGAAAATTTAAACCACGATAATAATATTTAGTTTTAAAGCTTTTGTAAATTCACCATTGTGAATTAATAAATTTGTGATTAATTATTGTGATTGATTTCTAATTTAAATGCAACTATGTAGACTACTTGTCACGCTGTATTAACAGCGTGGACAGAATTGTACATTTCTTAATATCTTCTGGTTGGAAGTCGATGTAAAAAAGTAACGCCACTTTGTTTACTCATCTCTTAAGAATATATCGGGTGGCGTAGGGGATGATAGATACCAAGCAACGGCTCTGATTGGCTTTAACATGGCGAAGTCCAGGCTTATCTTGGTCCCTCTTTCATCTCAATTGTGGACACTGACCTCCCCGCGGTGCCACCTGGGGAGCTATTCTCATCACCCGATGAAATAGTGAGCTAATATGTGCCGCGAGTTCACCCATAAGAACTATAAAAAAATGGGTTGAGGCGTCGGGTTAGTTGCCCACTCTCGGAAAACCCAACCTACTATGAAAAAGCAAAGAAAAAGAAAGCCAAACCCCCCTAATGTTGACGACCCCCGCAAACGTATAAAGGACCACGATCTGCGAATCTGCACTTGGAATGTGCGCACGTTGTACAGAACAGGCGCAGTATTCGCTTTGGCGGATATACTCAAGAAGTACAAAGCCGATATTATTGCCTTACAGGAAATGCGATGGAAAGGGACAGGCGTAAGTAAATCAGACGATTACGCCCTGTATTATAGCTGCCATGAAACGAGACATGAATTTGGCTGCGGATTTATGGTTAACAGGAGAATAAAAGACCTTGTCTCCAGATTCACTCCAGTAGATGAACGAATTGCTATAATCCGTATAAAAGCGAAGTTCTTTTACATCAGTCTAATTTGCGCCCATGCTCCGACCGAAAATAAAGATGAACAGACCAAAGACATATTTTATGAGCGCCTAGAAACAGCATATGACCGTTGCCCTGGCCATGACATTAAAATTCTGCTAGGAGAAGGGAAAATATCTTTGGCCCCACCGTCGGAAAATTCAGCCTTCATGAAGAAACATCCGACAACGGCATGAGGTTGATTGACTTCGCGGCAGCAAAAAACATGGTAGTTAGCAGCACCAGATTCAAGCATCTCGATATACACAAGGCCACCTGGATCTCTCCTGATCAAGTAACGAGAAATCAAATTGATCATGTTGTGATAGACGGAAGGCATTCATCCAGTGTTTTAGACGTCCGATCGATCCGAGGAGCGAATATCGATTCGGACCATTACCTTGTGGCAGCCAAGGTACGCACCCGTCTTAATGTTGCAGCAAAGGTGCGATCTAATACAACACGGAAACTCGACGTCGAAAAGCTGCAAACACAACAGGTAGCCGAGGCCTACTCCGCTCAACTTACCCATCTGCTTGAAGAAAGCACTTCTTGTCCCGATAATAGTATAGAAGCACAATGGCAAAGGATTGCCCACTCCCTACAAACTGCAGCAAAAGGAACAATTGGGTACCAAAAACCACCACCAAGAAACCCATGGTACGATCAGGAGTGTCGTAATGCTACTGATGAGAAAAACGCAGAGTAGAGGCAACCCTGCATACAGTAGCAACACGTAACGTGATGGAGAATTATCGGAAGAAAAGGAGAGAGGAGAAACGTGTTTTCAGAAAAAAGAAGAAAGAACAAGAAAAACGTGAGCATGAGCAAATCGAGATGTACAGGAGTCAGAATGAAGTCCGGAAATTTTACCAACTAGTAAAACACCAAACCGAAGGCTTTGGTGCAGGCACATCCTCCTGTACAGATGAAGAAGGAAACCTGGTGACAGATACAGACAGCATGTTGAGGATCTGGAGGAGCATTTCGAAAAGCTACTAGTATCAAATATTGGCGATGAAGAAGATACCCCAGAACCAATAAGAGATGATGGCATAGAGTGTATACCACCTAGCCAAGATGAGGTCATAAAAGCAATTAATCGGCTCAAGAACAACAAAGCAGCAGGAGCCGATGGGTTACCAGCCGAACTATTCAATACCGGTCGTCAGACGCAGATCGGGAGCAGACACCAACTTATTAGTACAATTTGGCTAGAGGAATGCATGCCCAATGATTGGAACCTCAGTATTCTGTGGCCCGTGCACAAAAAAGGAGGCAAAACGATATGTGCTTCCATGTGTCTAAGTGTCTCCTTCCCATCGCATATAAGTTGATATCCAGTGTGCTGAGTGAACGACTGAAGCCAATGGCCAATGACATTATTGGACCATACCAATGCGGATTCAGACCTGGCAAATGCACAATTGACCAGATTTTCACTCTGCGCCAAATCTTAGAAAAGGCCCACGAAAACCACTTCGACACATTTCATGTATTCGTCGACTATAAAGCCGCATTTGACTGTCCTATTCGTTCAGAGGTGTTTAAAGCCATGTCTGTATTCGGAATTCCTGCAAAGATGATACGGCTATGCAGGATAACTTTAACTGACACAAGGTCAGCAGTTAAAGTCGAAAATGACCTCTCGGAGCCCTTTAATACCGAATGGGGATTCAGACAAGCTGACGTTTTTTTTTGTGTGACCTGTTTAACATCCCGCTAGAAAAGGTTATACAAGAGGCAAGGGTGAACAGAAAAGACGCATCGATATAATGGGTAGAACATTGCGAACTTTAACAGCCACCTTTGAACAAATTGAGGAGTCTGCCAAAGTGGATCTGGCAGTTAATTGCGAGATCAAGCTGATGGTATCAACGCGCAAGACGTCCTGTAGGCTTGGATTAACAGTGGAACTTGAAAACTACAGCTTCGAGGTAGTCAAAGATTTAATATTCCTCGGTATTGTCATAAATAGAACTAATGACATCAAATTTGAAATCCGGAGGAGGATAGAGTTGGCCAACAGATGCTACTATGATCTAAGCAGTTTAGAAACAAGGCCAGACCAAAATCACACTCTTCAAGACGCTGATACCAACTGTACTGTTATATGGATCTGAATGCAGCTCTTAAGAGGAAAATTCTCCGAAAGATCTATGAGCCGATCTGCGTTGACAATGAATATCGCCGTGTAACTTTTTTAAGCTCGGCTTATGGAACAAACCAGCTAAGTAAGTTATCCCAAACCTTGTGACCGAACTTAGTAACAGTCATATAGGTCTCATAAGCAACATATCACCGCAACAGCGTTGGGCGCCATCCTTATGCATATAAAAGACTAGGTCCAATCAAGATTGGAGTAACACAAGGGTAACTTCTAGGCCAGTATTGCTTATATCCGACTGCTGTTAACCTGAAGGAGGATTGCTGATAACCTACGCCGACTAAGTTATATTAGCTCTGCGTGTAGAGGTTATACTGACTGAAACATTCGCAGTTTCGTGGATGCGACAGTGGTAGATAGAATTTGGCAGGGCAAATAAGCAATGAGTGCCATTAACAAATTTTTTGAATGCTTTCTTATCAACCTCATCAATCAAAAGATGTTTCGCGATTTTCAGTTCGGATCATGTTTAAACCCATAATAAAACTCACAGGAAATTTCTTCAGAAAATGCATCCCGACATGATATCAAGACATCATTTTTCATGATAAAGTCGATACTATCCATGAACATCTAAAATTGGAATAACTTTGACAGGATTGATAGCCTGATGATGATTGACTGAAATAATAGAATTTATGGATGTAACCTCCAACAAAATGATTCCTTTCTAATTCCGACTTGAACTTGAATCTCCCATTAACCCATCTTTCAATGGAAATTGTTAGTATCATGTTGTTACTACAACTTGTCACAAAAGAATTAACAATAGCAATATATTGACTTGTTGTTACTATCCGTTTGGACAACCCACTTTGTCAAGTGGAAATGTTCGCTGTCACAACGCTGTCCAACTCCTCCCACAACAACCATTTGACAACAGGTTCTCGTTGTCGTTGAAAGCTTTCAATTGATAATGTCCTTTAGAGACAAAATATCCTGTCGCTTTTGCACAGACGGTATGCAAACTATTTTATTGTCATCGAGCTACGACGAACATAACGAAACGAAAAAAAAGTGAACAGCAAATATGTCACGACAAGTTCGTAGTCAGTCCTAAGGACGATGACATTTATGCGTGGCGGAGAAAAAAAAACAAAGCGATTCCCCCCTAGTTGGGTGAACCACATAGTCATGTTTGCTTGTTTTGGTCGATTTGTTGGTCAATAATATTCAGTGTGTGTCCTCTTACCGACCATTACAATGATATCAACAAATAAATATCATAGAGGTCTCTCCACTTTCCCCCCTACTTAAGTCATCTTTTGAATCTCTAAAAAACTTTTGACCTCCACTCTCTGGTCGGTTATCGTTAAACGTAGAAATTCTTTGATAAACCATCTAAAGGGTAAACTAACCGGAAATTTATTACTTCATATTGTCAATGCAAACAGGACGAGAGGACATGCATGTGCACGTGTTTGTGTGTGTGTGTAAGGAACCAATAAATGTGTGTGGACATTCGGCCAGTCGTTCCGTTCGTTCGTTCGCTTTAAAAGCCCCAACACATTTTGCATTAGAAAATGTAATGTTTTTGTTTGACCGCTCATAGATAGATTTTTCGCGTCACTTCTATAGGACTTTGTGGTTGCGTGGAGTTCCTTTTTGTTACCGAGCCTTTTATGGGAAAGGGTTCTTTCGGTATGACACTGACATCTATTGTGTAAACATATTTTCTAACAAAATAAACTTTGTTTCAGCTTTGGCGTTTTTTGTTTGTCTCTTTTCTTTTTGGGGTCACTCGGAAGGGATAAAAGTAATAACAAATAGTCAA